TGGGGTGTTGTTTCCTCAAAAATGCAGCAGTTTTAGGGGCAAGATCTTCTCTAGCCCTTCCCCACATCAAGGACCCAAACTATCCTAGCTACAATTAGGAAGCAGACCTTAGTATTGGGAAATCTTGGCAATATGAGAGAGAGAAGAGCCCATCATTGCATAGAAAACATCACTGAAATGCTATTTAATACCTGCTTTTAGGACTCTGCCACCATCCATCTGTCCTAATTCAGCTGGAATTAAAAACCAAAAGGCAGCAAGGCCCAGAGGGAAGGCACCAGACCCAAGGTGCCTTGGGTGCTTTCTTTTCTTTCTGGGCACAAAGTGTTTTTCCACAGTGACTTTTCTCTCCCCCCTACAGCTGCAATTGCACACGTGAAACACTACAAGTATTTCCCGGATTCCAAACCATCTTGTATACAGCAAATTGTTTATTATTTTCCAGAAACAACCTGCAAGAAGCCTGGATAGCTGTGGAGGATTGAATTTCATCCTTCTCGAAAGTGCACGGGATGCAACAGATCCCATTGATCAAGATCAAAGCACATTAGTAAAGCCAAGGGGTGGCTCATCCTGGGGACAGAGAAGATTCACCCCACAAAACCCCTCAAAAATCACAGCTCTAGATCCATAACTGTGCTGTGAACACGACTCATGACAACAGCCTATACATTTAGCTTACTAACTTATTTAGAAGACACAGCTCTGCTACATTTGCTTCTTCCCGTTTGCAAAGCGGGACAACGTTAAAATAAAGCAGCTGGACAGCAATATAATCATCTAAGGCAATTTAGTAACAAATCATCATTTAAAAAAGGGGTAGCAGCATTAAGCTACAAAAAACATTTGATGTCGTTTAGGGGGTTAAGGGCAGATTAAGGGTTTTCTCCTCTAATTTTCTCCTCTAATCAGCCTAAATGGAAGTACTGCACATGCATGGAAGAATGCAGTCCTTACAATAAATCCATTTACCGTATAGATCCTCGTGCCTTGTTAAATTTAGTATTTAGGTGACCTGTGCCCACCAAGTCAAGGCTTCTGGTTGCCCCCCCTCCTTTTTTTTCCTCCCTTTTCCTCTCTCTTCTCCATAGCCGGGAACTCCACAGGGCAACTCCATGGGGCAAAAGCAGCCAGACACATCAGTATAGCAAGTTTTGGATATGCCGCTTCTTAGCGTTTTTGCAGTGCAAAGGGAAAATCTGTAGTCCACCCGTTTCCGACGATATTCCTTCAAGACAGCATGGTTTTAGCACAGGAGGCAAAATTGCTGAATCAGAATTCAATTGTAATAGGCATGGAGAGGGAAAAAATGGATTCAAGTTTTTAAACCTAAATCCTATAATCGCCCCAAATCTATAGGTACTTTGGTGAAGCACGTGAGTGCAGGGAATCCTACGGCCAACCTCAGACCATGGGGCTCACAGCAGGGAGCAGGTACCTGTCACGGGGAGAGGCAAAAAGTCCTGCCAAAACAACACCAAGACTCCTTGGGTCCTTTGAAGGGACCCGTTTTACACATAAACGAATGAGACACCATAGAATGCACATTTAAAAAGACTATTCATAAAAACTGAAATTTATTTTAAATTCAAAAAACAAACTGGAGTTGTTTCTTGATAAAAATTATTCACACAGCATTCATGTCGTGATTTTTTATTTTATTTTTGAAATGAAACCATTGTACATTGTACAAACCATAACTACTGATGGAATAAATAAGTGAAAAATTATACTGCTGTACAACACACACACACACAAATCATAAGATGGAAAACGATTAGGTATTGAAGAAAACAAAATTCTTTACACCTTCTAACAGGCCCTTAGATATAAAGAACATTCCAAAACATGACCATGTTTATGTATGAAGATAGCCACCCAAAACCAATATTTTTATACTGCCTTGTTGATTATTTTTGTTGTTGTTGTTTTGTAAGTGCCAGCACTTTTTGGAATGTTTAACAACTACTTTCCCAAGCATAAAAATTCCAAGGAATAGTTCTGCTATAAAATGTTTGGCTGAGTAAATCGCTTATTCAGAAGGCCTTCCCACATGTTCCACTCAGCTAATTTACTTGCTTGCTTCTATTTTTTTCGCTTTTGTAAATGAGCTCCAACATTCAGCATTGTAGCAAGGAAGCACTTCTTGATATTTGCACTATTTCTAAAACATTAGCTGTATGAGAACTTTCAGTCATCTTGAAGAAAATTACATCTCTCCTTCTGCTCCACGTCTCAATGCTTTCAATAAACCCTTTTACAGTGAGTTCATAAAACAAGTTTCTGGTAGAGACAGGTCCAAGCCAAATAAAAGCTGGATTTAGATCTGGTTTCAAACCTTACGTGGGTTTGAATCCAAGGTCCTGGTTTGGTCCCATCTGTACTTTCTGGCATTAAAATGTGTTTAATCACATCCGTTGGCCCATAAATGTTATCAGGCACTTCAAGAAAAGACTAATAACAGTCTTATACACTATTTTGGATTTCTTCATACCAGATAATGTCAAAGTCTCTTCTCTTAGAGACTGACAATAACAGGTCTAAGGAACCCAAATCTATCTGCTTGTTCAGTTGTCTGTTGTCACTAGAATCTCTGATTAAAAATAAAAAGTTCTGAATGTACTTTGTATAAGCTGTAAATAAAGCATTACTACTTTAGAAACAAAGCCTCTAGGAATATGGTTATGTTTTTTTTTTTTTTTTTTAAAGCCACAGAACAATGAACAGTTCTGAGCAGAAGCCACAGGAGAGAAAAGGAAATTCATAATTAAACCTGTCAATGTCAATAATGCCAATAAATGCTTCTATCTAATGAAAAAATTTGAGGTATTTTAGTGCTATTTATATATTTTATTTCTTCCTAAAGTACAGGAATTAGTTCCTAAACCAAAAGTCTATTTACTCCCTTGGAAATACCTACAAAATAAAAGTAAAAAACTTGCTGTGATGCACCTGAAGACAGTGATTAGTAAACATGACTACTTTTCAAAGGTGGCATCAGATTAACTTTATCCTTAAAAATAAGAAAAAGCTCGTAAAACAAAAATATTTGTAAGTTTGAATCTTTCTAAATTTGCCCATTTAATATATCAATAGAATTTCTCACAAAATATCACTTAAATCTGAATGTAATATACATACAAATCAATTGTCATTGACCAGTTATCCACATTTTAGGCATACACACAGTTCAAGAGCAAATCCTACCATTTCATTGCATATATTGTGCAAACATTTTCTGGCTCCTCATTTCCTTATTTTCAGAATGTTAATGGACTTCATGATCAGACCAGAAATCCCCCAAACTTATTAGGGAGCACACTGTTTTCACGAATGTTTTGCAATCCAATTTTATTTAATTAAAATCCAAAAAGTTTATTTCAACATAAAGAAGTCCCGAAACTGAGTGTTGTATATTATTTGGAGTTTAATCCTACAAACGCTTTACGGAAGGTCAGTATGGGCTCCCCAATCCTCCCTCCCTCCATCCCCTCCCCTGACTTCCCCCTTGTTTTCCATAATAAAACGGTAATTGCAAACGCAATGCAGTAGTCTAAGTGCAAGCCATTTTCACTATTGGAGAATTCAGAAATAAATAAGCTTAATGAAGAGCTAATTATGAAAATGTATCAACTGGAAGCAACTTTTTTTTTTTTTTCATTTAAAAAAGTATTTACAGTTCTTAGCTTACAAACTATATGCAACCATTTTCATAGCCATGAGATCATAATTTCAATTACAAGTCCCATCTCCCAAAGCGGAGACGGGTTGAGGGCCCGATCTGGCCGCACGCACGTGCATGTGGCACGTTTCCAAGTGGGAGTTAAGTGTTTCCCACTGACACCAGCTACTTAGAACTGGGTGCCCACCCGGGAAGTACAAAGCCCCTGGGCCCTGGCCTTTGCAGTTGGCTCCGCACCCCCAAATGCCACAAATCTGCAGGGAGTTGCACACGCTCGGCGCCTCGCAACCAGGTTCAGCAAAAGCAGACTTCAACATAATCGAAAAACATTTCTACCCATGATGTAGAAACTATGGAAACAACAAGACTTATTTACAAGACTTGCTGAAATGAAAGGAAAATCCCAAAAACCATATTGACCTCGAACATAGAAGTAAACGTCTTCTAATGAAACAGTACAATCAAATCCAGTTCAGTGAAAACCTGATATCAAAAAAGACCAATTGAAAATAAATTCACTGTGCATCAATCCCTTTGATCCTATTTATGTACATAGTGGAATTCTTCTGCAAAGAAAATTGTACCCAGTACAGAGATCTGGACCTAATACGTAAGTATTTTAACTGTTGTATTATAGGAAATATTCAGATCTGGACTATAAATGGTAAACAGATGTTAACTTCTGATGAAGTTAAGTATTTAGAAGACCAAATTTACAGTTGCGAATGCCATGCATTCAATAAAGATCTCCACTATAGCTGCTAAAATAAAATATCAAGCTCCTTTTTCTCCTTGGACTCCAAGAGTGAAAATGGCTTCCTGATCTGTATTTATTAAAATTTAAGCACCAGGGATTTAAAATAAAAAAAGAACAAAAACAAAAAACAAACAAAAATCCTCCAAACCAAAACAAACAAAAAAACCCTAAACAAACAACCAAAAACCTTACTACATGGCATTATACAAACATAGGCCACTTTGCAAAGGAGACTTTTGCAAAACAACTTTTAAAAGTTAGCACTGTTTTCAGAACACAAGGCACAAAACAAAAGCAGACATCACGCCAGAACAATGAACTTCACATGAAAGCTAATAACTGACCTGTACCATCCTTAAATATCTTACATTGTTAAATAGAGAAATGAAAAAAAAAATACAGCAGCAACATAATTGTAATTTTGACTTTAGAAACAGTGCGTAGACCCCTCCTGAGTTGTTTACTCCAACCATTTCAGAGACAGTAACTTAAAAGTTCTCAATGTTTGTTTCACAGGAAAAAGTTTTCAGTGTCTGAGAAGTTAAACCTTTGTTAGGCTTTCTTGGATTTTTGCTTGGTAAACTTGAAAAGTTAGGAGTTCTGTCCTCATCCAAGAGAAGATGCTTAAGTAACGTTGTTCTATAATTAAGCCCACTGATGTACCTTACATAAAAACTGACCAGAAAAATCTATAGTCTAAATCTCTTCAACATTTTGTTGGGAAGCCTCTACTTTCATCTTTTTAGAAGGTGGCACTCCTTCAGAGTCCTTAACAGGGGGGGAAAAGAAAAACAATCATGTTATCATTGCACTGAATCACAGATGCTATAAACATCAAACAAGAAGCAAGAGCAAATTCCCTGGTGTGTTATTTACAAAATACAAATAATCCCTGGATATGAGAATGACAAAACAAGTCAATTTACTTCCTGGAATCACTCCTCCAGTTCCATCTTACCTCAACTTCTTTACACTTCTTGTCATCTGCTGACAAAGGGCTAAATTCTAGCAAATACTCCACATGCACCAGCCCGGGGGATGAAGGGTTATGCCTGGGCTGCCCTTAGCTCCACAAGTCCAAGGAATTCATTAGTAATATTAAATTTTAGTATTTCCTCACAAAACTAACACAGCCTAGTACAGGAAAAGTAAACCAGATTGTTCAGTGTTACTGTTCAAGTCGCACGAAATGCAGGAAGCCAACAAAATGAGCCATAAGAATAGATACATTCATATACATTTAATAGTCTATAATGTCTATTTAATACTCTACCACTGCTTTATTGCCATCACCTTAGGAAATGAGCCGAAATGATCTCCTTACATTTGCCTTTTAAGAAAAACGTTCTCTTCCAAATTCTTTTGCACTCAAAAGTTACCTGAGTGTTTTTAGATGCCTCTGTAATTACATCGTTTTCTCCAGAGGACTGAATTTCTGCTTTCTCTGAACTGTTCATAGAATTTTCCATTGAAGACTGTGAATTCTGTTCGTCGGAGGTATCTGAAATTTCAAGAAACCATGTTAAACAACAAATGAAAGAGCTCAGCAGGAGTTTTCAGGTTGTTCTCTCACTAACAACATCCCCAAAATAAAAAAGTTATATGATAATTCATATAAACAATACTGTAAATTGTAACGGAGCTCAAACTCCAGAGCCAAAACCACGGGTCGCTGCTGCTCGAGCAGAGACCTTGGCCTTCCCGCTCCCAGCTGGACACAATTGCTGGGATGGGTCCCTAGAGGGAGCTCAGCTCACACATGCCCTGGATCACCTGCTATTCCAGAGCTATTTGCAAATAAAGTTGCAACATAAACTTTGTAAAAGGGCTGAAACTTCCTTCGAGCCACAAGGAAGAGGCTGCGACAGAAATCACTGAATTGTGATGGAAAAGGGACCTAAAATTGTGTGGTTAAGGAAATGGAATTAAATTATCCCAACTCAAATTCAGCCATATATTTAAAATCCACTTTCTTTCTTGCCACTACTTTCAGGTTAGCATTCAGAAATTCGTTTGGTTAACTTAACCATTAAGGGAATATGTCTGGCCCATTCAAGTGCAGAAGTTTTCCAGCTTGCAATGGCTCTTTCCTGCTCCCAGTTCCACCCTACACTATATGTATTTTTTTAATCCTTTCCTTCTATCCCTCTAAAAACATGACTTACACTGCAGGACTCACAGTTAAAGCACTCAATCCACTTGAAGAGAGAATAGGGGGGATTTAAGCAGTCTCTACTGGTTAAATTTCATTAAAAGTCGAACACAGTATGTTGAAAAACAGTTTCATCCAAAAAGCCTGGTACAGAAAAGCAGTTCTATTTCTTTCTGTATCCACACCAACAACGGTATAAAGACTGGATCTCATTCTTCCCTCTCACCCTAGTTTTGAGGGACCTTCCCGATGCCTCCATACTAATGAAAGATGTGTAAGGTCATTGACCCTGTGCAGCTGAATAACATCACAATTCAAAGGCTTTGAGCAAACATCAATTCTAGAAAATGAGGAATTATGTAACAAATGTAAAAACACAGCACATAGCCATGTTAATAAGGCTTTTTTTTTTTTGTCGATACGTCTTCATTTTACAGTAAATAGCTCTGGAACTGATCCAGAGAACCTGGCACGACTCTCCCTGAATCTAAATTTAGTTATGGGAGCATGTATGCTATATAATAATCTTACACAAACAGGTTCAGACAATATTAAACCTAGGAGGAAACCCTTACACACTTCAGCACAATTGAAAAGGTCAGCTGAGGTTTTCTTTTAAGGCTGTGTCTTTCTGATATATTTCAATTTGATAACTAGTTGTCAAATTTCAACCCCAATTAACAATGACCTCATATAACCAAGATAAAAGGTCTAAACTTAAATGCGTTAGTGGATCTGCTAAGCTAAGAATGGAATCAGTAGGACATAATTTAATTGCTTTGCTATGGGAAGAATTCTGCAATCAAATTATTAGAATGGTGTTAAGGACATCTTTATCTGCTATAATAGGATGAAGAAACCTATCTTCTAAATCATATAAATACAGAGTGTGTTCCAATTACCCAAAATACTGCTCAAAGAGCAAGGTTTAGAACAATCTCTTAACCCCCATATATTTTTAATCTGTGAAGAACTGCAGTAAAATATTCTAACTTCTTTAGAAAATTAGAACCTAAGTCAGAACTAGCTTTTGAGTAAGTAACTAAGAAGACTGAACAGAGCAGCTTAAATTTTAGTTTACGCAATAAAAATCTCACCTCCATTTTTACTTTCATGCTAGGTAATGAATATTCTCTAATCTCCTAGAATAACACTTCCTAGGATTTGTGTGATTGAATAGTTACAGCAGATTTTAAATGATTTTTTGAAGACTGAGATTATAATAGCAACAAAATCTCTTAAAAAAACACTCTAGAAAGACCTTGAATGTTAATCTGACCTCTCTTGCTCTACGAACGATCACTGGGAAGCAAGAGAGGCTGGACACATTTCAATCAACACCTCAAAATGCTGACAATTCAAAAGCCGTTTCTTTCACACCATTATTATTCAGTCTTTAAAATGCACAGGTAGATAAAATACATCAGAACCAAGGGATAACTTTTTTGCTCAACTTTGAGGATGGTGTCAGCCCACCTTCTGAACCAGGCTGCTCCTTGGCTTCTGTCTGAGGTTCGTCGGACTTCACCTCAGTGCCATCCGCTTGTGTTGTCAAATTCTGTTCTGGTGCTGGACTTGAATTACTACTGTTTTCTTGTTTTATTGGAGAAGCATCAGCTATTGAGCTCTGGTTGCTGTTGTCATCTGTTAAGAAGAGAATTAATAGCAAGTCACTCTAGTTTTATAAGATCTGAATATAAAGAACATCTTAATTTTTCATATTTTATTTTTCATCTCTTATGTCCAGATAACATAGGCCACAGTCTCAGTTGCTGGAGAGCTAAAGAAATCCAGAAGCAATTAGAACATTACTACGTTTAATTTTTTTCTACACCATCACCGCAATGATTTCTGTCCTTTCAGCCTGTACTGTATTGCAGGTGTTTTTAAGACCCAACATTATTAGTTAAATTCTATGCTAGGTATGCAAGCTCATCTACCTCACTTTGCAGCTGTGTGCTCATTACATCCAAAGGACTACAGGAACATATAAGCTGGTGATGGGACCTTCTCTTTTCAGAGCAGTCTGAAGTCAGATCAGATTAAGCCTATCATTAAATTTTACAGTATGACTTAAAAATGCTATTGATAAGCTATATATAAAAAAGTATTATATTCACTTCACAGATGGGGGAACAAGACTTAACAAAAAATTTACATCCCACCTAAAAGTGACCCTCTATAATCAGCTCAACTACTGCCATATTCTCAGCCCTACCTGCTACCCAAACATTTAGAATCTAAAATTTTTTTTAAAAGCTGAGTTGTGAAAGCTCCTCTGTAATAAATACCATGTTAACACCCACAACTCGCACTATTTTATTAGTTGATCTAACAGTGTCTGACTTTGGCAAGAAAAAAAAATGCTTCTTGTTGTTGCTGTTTGTTTTTTGGTTGTTTTTTTAACCGGATCATTTTAGCAAGCTGAAGACTTCCCAGCCGGAGGAAGACGCAGCAGAACCCCAGGCTGCGTTCACAGCACTGCCCCGATGTAGCTCCTGCCCTGACTCACCTGCAGTGTCTGAGAACAAGCTCAAATACAGTCCAGCAAGCAAAAAACCAGCACAAACCTCAGTACGAAACCAGAAGCCTCCCCTACCCCCCCAACACCAAGCTCTACAAGTCAGTACTTTACTTAAATAAGTGCATGGTATTCTGGATTGTAGATGTGTGTGTGTATATATATATGTATATGTATTATTTCATATTCAGCTCCAGCAAGAACTTACTTTCACACATAGCTGAACTGAAAATGGCATTTAATAACCATTAAGACATCTACGAAACAGAAATCTAACTGAATTATCTGATATAATTCTCACTTCGGCCCAAACATGGTGCTGTCCATATATCTGATTAATGCAGAATCTGACATGGTTAGCATTTATTTTCACAGTAGTTTGACAGGGTAATTGGGGCTGACCTTCTGCCACTCACCATGCATGTCCATCATCCCTGGAGAGGAGCTGTTTTCTGGAGTGGTAACTTCAGAGCCACATTTTTCATCTTTGCCTTTTTTCTTATTCTTATTTTTCTGAGAAAAAGGCATGTATCCAAACAGATGAGCACCGGAAAGAAAAATATCATGTTTCAATATAAAACTCTTCCCACTCATTACTTTGTAAGCATCTTGCTTCACTTTCAAGTGAGAAATAAGCCCAAGAACCACTGCAGTTATCAAGAACACATCAGTCCCAATGATCACAGGGACATTTTTGCAATTGAATTCTTTGGGAGTGTCAGAAAGCACTAGAATATTTAGCTTTTTATCTAGAAACTCCAGCAATGGTTAGCACTTGAGCATGTTTTGCATCTTCAAACCACTGCACAACCTTTGTAAAACTTTGTAAAGGGCTTTTGGGAGGTGCATGTGGGTAACCACAACCAACCCAAAGAGCTCCCAACGCAAGGCCAAAGCAGCCCTGCTGCAACATCTAAAGGGAAGAACATCACGGAGCAGAGACCCAGGACACTATTTGTTTTCTGAGCTCACACTTCTGCTCACTGTGCAGTATGTACGTTAATTCCCAGCTTCAAAGCTTGGTATATTCTCTTTTCCTTATCAGGAAGCTCGTGGAAAGCACCTGGAAATATGCATGAATGCACAGCAGCAAGGAGGAGACAGATCCAGGACTTTTAACACTAAGACGACAGCTATTTACCTCCTTTTCAATGACCAAGACTGCAGAGCCCTCCTCCTTCCCTTCACCCACCACTGTTTATTCATTAAAACTAAAAGATCAGTGAAGAGAAACCAGACTGGCATAAAACAAAGAGCATAAAAAAAAGATTGAAAGAAACCCTGCATGAACAAGAGGTCATAGCACGCGCATGACCAAAACAACAGCACCCGCTGCGAGCACTAACACAAAGGAAGGGGCACCCATCACGTGGGCAACGTCTGCTTCGAGATGCAGCATTTGCAATTAAGAGGTGGCGTAACGGGACTCACGGGAGGATCCCGCCAAGGAGGCCGTGAAAAGCCCGGCCCTAGGAGCAAGGCTCGACCCAACCCCGCGGAGGAGACAACCACCTCCAAAAGGGAAGAAAATAAAACCACAGCCTAAGACTGCAGGAGAAATTCAACAAATGAGATGTAGAAGGATTTCTCCATCTATCTTTAACATACTATTTGGCTTTTTTGTTCTATTTTTGCTTCTTAGAGAAGAAATGGAATAACTCGGATTTTACTCCCATATATGGAACTGAGGTGAAAGCATATGGAGTTCTTTAACATTGCAAAACTAATATTCAAAGGGAATATAATTGCTCTTAGGGAGTAATTGCCCCGCCAAGACCGAAAGGCACAAGAGATACAAAAGAAATGTTGATAGAATGACTGCAAGCAATTTAAAACGAGACTTTAAAAAAAAAAAAAAAAAAACCACTTAGCTATCAAACCTATGAGGTTCCCTAACAACCTTCCAAAACTATTAAGAGGAAAGAGCTCACCTAGCTAATTCCAGTTTTCTGTTTGTTTTTAAAGGGGTAAAATGACTTAGGGACATGCAGGAGGGAAGAAAAATCTAATCCACATTGTCTGAAAGACAACTTCCTTTTGAAGCAGTGAGCTGTAGAAAAGACAGGATTCTACTAAAAAGCAAGTGTTCTGCATCTTCTCCTGAATATGTAGATTGAATCTGGTATAAAAGGATGCCAAAAAACAAACTACTAAGATAACTCCTACCCAATATTTACTTTTTAAATATATTCAGCTTTGTTTTGATGAGGAGTTGGAGAGTCTGAAGATAAACCTTATGACATCAAGTCTGCAGTAGTGGCAGCACAACAGCCTCTGCTTGTGACATGCAGAACGTGACCGTAGGATGTTAAAGGCTTTGAAGGAATGTCTTAAGTTCACCAAATCTGGGCCCTCAACTTAAAAATGATGCCTCAAATACTGCAATTAAACTCTGCACACACACCTTTAAACAAACTCTTGCTTCTTAAGAGGGAACCTGACTTTAGGATTGGCAGCAGTCACACTGAAAATTAATCCAAAAACCTCACTAGAAACATGTTTTCAAACTTCCATGATATCCACCATGCAAGTGTCGCCTGACTGTAGGAAAATAATTTGCAGAAACCCTTGAAATAGCAACCCACAAGCCTAAATATCCTAAAATCACATAAGTAGCACATCCTTTTCCCTCAGTGTATCAAAAAAACAAAATCAAGACCAAATATTTGAGTACGAGACAGAATGCACATTTTCTGAGAAACCAGGAAAGGTTTCCCAATTCACAAGTGACCATTCCACAGACTCCACTGTTCACAAGCAGCTCACCACGACTTCCAGAGTCAAGAAAATGTTTTGCACAACCGAAGGCACAGAAATATACAAATTCTGTTAAAAACAACCCTATTCAAAAATAGGCCCTGAACACTTTGAATAAGGCAAGTCCATGACACCAACTCTTTCAAGTTGGTATTCGAAAACTATTATTTTATAGATTTACTAATAAAGCAATGTTCTTCCAAATAGGGCTTACTTCACATTTCAAATAAAATGAAAACACAGGATAGTCCAAGAAGAGAGTACCAAACTAGTGATATACACCCAACTATACTTTACTGTGGAACCATCGATTAGTATTCTCACCATAACAATATTTCCATTTATAAAATAGGAATAGCATTGATAACTAAAGCTAAAAGCAATGCACAGGTGCTGTGAATTTTGATTTTCAGGTTTGCTGTTCTTCTGCCATGTGACTGTATCATGGGAAATAAACAGTACTTCCCTGATGCACACTATGAATGCAAATATGATGCATACACAAAACATTTACCATGAGAAAATGGGCATTACAATAGAAGCATTTGCTCTACTGCTTCATTTGGACATCTCAATACAGATGATCTCCCAGTTCCACAGCGTTTTCCTGGCCTTGCTTCAGTATTTTGTGCCTCTGAGCAAAATACCAGCGGTGCTTCTAGATGCACTGATACAGGAATGCATTCTCTGAACAGTTTCATAGCAACTACTTTCCTCTAACGCATCACGGAGGAAAAAAAGAAATTGTTTATATATATATGTGTGTGTATGTGTGTATATATTATTTATACAAATATATACACACTTATTTCCATTATTATATTGGGAAAAGATTTCAAAGTCAATTGCAAATAAAGTACAAAAATTCTCTGTTTCAAGCCCAGTGTTTAGTAGTTCTCTAAGAATCGATCCAACTTGACTCAGGGAAGGCTGCCTGAACCATCAACACCACTTTCTGTACATGAGCATTTCCCCTAGAGCTCTGACATTCAAATGTTGGCAAGACTGATACCAGTCTTAACTTAAAGGCTAAACAGTTTTTTCTTTCAGTCTTCCCTAAAAATGAGTCCCTAAAACTGCATCTTGAAAAAGGAGGACATTGCAGGATACTTACATCGTCGACTTTAGGCTCTGTTACTGGTACCCATTTGTAAATCCTTAGGGATGTGTCGCCAACTGTCACCCACTTCTTCTCCCTGTAGAATTACAATGCAAAAGAAGTTAAAGTTAAACTTCATATTCAAAATAAAGTGATCTACTATTGTAAGTTGTCAGAGATTTAAATAGGCTATTAGGTAGGATGAGCTCCTTTGGTGCTGTATCGTACAAATTGGTCTTTGCATTTCAAGAATTTGTTAGAGCACTGCTAACTTCCAGAAATCTGAGGGCTGTTACTTGTGTAGGTAACTGCAGTAGCAGTGATGAGATCTGGATTTGAGGCACAGTTAAGAAGAACAGCTATTCAAAATGCAGATTTAGTGCTTACAGTTTTCACTCATCTTTCTAGAGAGAAGAGTAGTTTTTAGACAGACCGGTGTGTTTTGGTTGTCATGAAGCTGTTTAATGGTATTAAGGAATCTAAATGCATTTTGACCATCTGAGGTGTACTTTTAGGTCGAAATCTGCTGTTAGCAACTTAACATTCACTCAACGGTCCTGTCAGGCAGTTCTGAAATTTTAGCCTTGGAACCAAGAGCCTTAACTGCCCTACGAGGAGAGGCTGAGGGCGCTGGGCCTGTTCAGCCTGGAGAACAGAAGGCTGAGAGGGGATCTGAGCAGTGTCTATAAGTACCTCAAGGGAGGGAGTGCAGAGGATGGTGCTGGTCTCTTTTCAGTGGTGGCCACTGATAGAACTAGAGGAAATGGCCACAAACTGAAGCACCAAAAGTTCCACAGGAACTTAAGGAAAAATTTCTTAACAGTGAGGGTGACAGAGCACTGGAACAGGCTGCCCAGAGAGGTTGTGGAGTCTCCTTCTCTGGAGATCTTCAAACCCGCTTGGACGCAGCCCTGTGCCACGTGCTCTAGGTGACCCTGCGTGTGCAGGGGTTGGACTAGCTGATCTCTAGAGGTGCCTTCCAACCCTGGGCATTCTATGATTCTATGATTATTGGTAGATGCAGAACTCGGACCCAGGAGAGCCTGGCTCCCTCGGACAGGGCCGGCAGGGCCACGGGAGAGGGAAGCAGGCAACCTGCAGCACTCTGTGCAGCCCCTGCCAGCCCCAAAGCGAGCCGGGACACGGCCAGGCCGGGACGGAGACGTGGCCGGAGGGCGGCACCGCATTACGGGTCGCGCAGACACAGAGTGCGCACACGGACCAGGCGCCGAGCGAGGGGGCGGATTCCTCGAGCTCTTTACGGCAGAACGTTAAAGCAAGGTCCATAACGCCAGGGAAATTGCATCCCGGTTCTGTGAGCGGTTTTCAGGGCACAGATCACCACTGCTGGTTCCTGGGTTTGCACTACAGCTCTGCAAATGGATCGGTTAGAAGTTAACAACACAGACCAATGCCATTAACTCTTCAGGAACATCTGAAATTAATTTGGAATGAGGTCTCAAAATAAGCATTTTTTTACTTCTTTAGAAACAAAAAGCAAAAAAAAATTTAAACACTAGATTTGCATTCTAGTTACAGTTTTTTTTTTTTTTTTAATGTTCTTTGCAGGATGGCAGAAGCTGGATCTGACTCCAAATACATAAGTGATATCTCCGTTTTTAGAAAGAGTTTCCGGAATCAAAAGCAGATACGTTGTACGAATGTCACAAACGCCCTCCTGACCATTTGTTTTTGCTACTAAAGCCAATCTTACTGGTTTTCCCTTTAAAGGAGACACTTTCCTGTTAATAAAATAAATAAATAAAAGAACACTGCAGTTTTGGATCTGTCCACAAGGACATTTTAATTATAGAATTGTTTCAGATTCATTTCTTTCCCACTGCACTTCCTGGAGTGCAGTTTTTTTAAGTGTGTTTAGATTCATCCATTTAGGCACAGTAGATGGCTAAAGTATGTCCAAAAAAACCTATTTTATGCTACTTTGGAGCTCTATTGCTAGACATGATAAAAATGACAGTGGAAATGAGGGCATGTAAATAATGAAAGCAGACTTAATTGTGAAGAGATGATCATGTTTGTTTGTTTTTCTTTTACAGATACAAACTGAACTTGTTTCTAGTTAGGAAAAACCTTTGAAATTATGGAAATAAAACCTGCCGGCGGGATTTTGTTTTGGGTGGGGGAGGAGGTGAATAAATGCTTCAAAATCAAGATTTCAGCCTTTTCCTACAGCAAAATATTACTTAGAGATGCTGCACTGGAAAACCAAAAGTTCAAGATACCTGTTAGCATCTCAAAGCAGCCTCACACAGCATCTTCACTGGACAGACTGTAGAACACAGGAGGAAACCTATATTAGTAACTTTTTCTTTCTAGCGTTAAAGTTAGCCCTGACATTTTAATTTTTGAGCTTCTTAAATACCCCTTTAGATTTTGATAACCTTCAGCTGTAGGATTTTTTTTTCCTCTTGATTTCAATACACAGTATTTCAGACAACACTGGGAATTAAGATATTTTTGATGGAATTACACCAACATCCCAGTCCTGCAAGCACTTACGGTTAAAAGGAAAACCCAACACTGAACTGCTATTATTCAGATATTTTTACATGTGTAAGCATTTACAGTATTGAAACTTTAAGACTATATATTAGTAGGAAAACAAAAGACAAACTCCTCTAAAACTCTTAATATCACTGGCAGCATAAATACAAATTTGTTAACAAAGAAATGTAATGGGGTTTCAGACATCTAAGATTAACAGGGTAAAATAACTTCAGAGATTAAGAGGTTTATTGCAAACATAGCTTAAAATATTATCTGCAGTGTTTATTGCCACAAAAATAATAGTAATAAAGAACACAGTTCTACTCTGAACCTTCCTTTTTTTCCTTTTTTTTTCCCCTCTTCTGTGCAAAGTCCCAACCTCAACCTGCTGTTCAGGGAACATCCCCTTTTACTTGGTTAGAATTAACAATTTATTCATGCTTGCTAAATGCTGTACGAACTAAAACACTCTAGTTGACCAAACGCCAGAGCGAGGAGGAGGAACCCGAGCCCTGGTGCCTGATCCGTTGCGAATCCAAGTCGGCCTCTCCACGCGCTTTCCCTTCCTGTCCCCAAAAGGGACCTGCTGCTGAATCCGCTCATCCCGAGGACACCGACACCAGCCTCCCCATCCAGGGAAGTCTATTCCAGCTTGGCTGCAATCACTAGGCAACACTTCCCGACTACCCCGTCACACTGCACAGGGTGATCTCTGTCCTGACTGCAGCGAAGGGGCAGAGCAGCACTATCAACCTAAGTTATTCGCATGAGCATTTGCTAATTACTAAAATCAATTGCCCGCAACTGCCTGATAAACTCCACGGCTTTCCCCGGCAAAAAGCACATTTTCCTGGTTTTAAATCTGTTCTTCCATAAATGACCCAAGCATAACAAAAGGAAAATGTCAAAACATAATATATATACGGTATTTCTCAGCATGGAAGATTAAAACCAAGAAAATGAAGTTATCTTAAGTAGTTTAATTGTAATAAATTCAAAAATTAGTCAATGCAATAGGAAAAAAAACAACTTACATTTATCTTAAAACTGTGTTAAAGGACTCTTATATTTTGAACAATACTATTTTAAGGACAGTCAATTATATGTGCAATAACTATTAACATCAACACCATCAACACTTTTTTTTTACCCTTATGCCCAAGGCATACTATTACCCTAGAACTTACATAATTATACATCCAAATCTCCCTTTTAAATAACCCAAGAGTCTTAAATATATTTATATTCTGAACAACCCTAAAGCTCCAAAGATGAGCGTCAAATTTCATGTACAAAAGTAATATACGGTGAGCAAACACAACAGTGTATATTACACTTATACATAAAGTGTCAAGGCAGCTTTTGCAGCAGCAGTGAGTGCTAGAAACATTTGATGGCAGGGAAACAGAAAGCCTTTACTGCCAATATATTATGATGGAGGAAAAGGCCTTGGCGTTTCCCCCGACGGCGTTCCGCGTTCCCTCGTGTTCTGCTGATGCTCACCAAGCGGTGCCATAATGCTGAATTGATCACATCACACTCACTTGCACTGCAACTGAGTTTGGTGAAAACCACAGAATTACGACCTCCGTGTTGGATGAAGCAAAGGAGAAAGGGAAATGGGAAAGAAAAGGCCATTATTATACACGCAAAGTGCCGTCGGGTGCAGAAAATTGGGTTTTTTCCTGCTTGGCTGGCTTTGCTGAGCACGCCTGGTGCCAGCTGGATGTTCGTCTAGCGACTAACACGAAGCAGCCCCACATGTATATGGTGCCTCTGGACCATGCTACAAATACGATGAAGTAGAACATAGCATTAAAACAAATGGAAAATACCAGTGGTTAAGAACACCCCTCTCTCGCAGCTTCTTTAAGTATGCTGCATTACAAGCGTCCCCTTTTAACTTACATATGGCAACACGTTTTTAAGCAAGTTCTGCTAGGTTCTGCACTGCAACAAGCACCTTTTCTTGCAAGAAGAAACATGGCTCTACATATAATTAAAACTCCTCCTTTCCATCCAGCCGACTTGCACCGAAGTCAGAAAGAAATAATTATGAACCAGAAAAACTCCCTCGCAATTCAACCATGATAACTGTGTGCAGGTAACTGCAATATTTCTAAGTAGCTCCTCAACACACACGAGGATTTTTTTGTGTCAGCCACCACTACGTGAAGCACAACCTTAGCGGGACCAAGTACAGCCAACATCTCAATGGTCACAGCCTGACTCAACTGGACTCATCTGGTAGCATCAGACAGTCGGTCTTTTCTAAAGACATCACACTAGGAAGTTCTGGGTCTTCACTGCTTTTCAGATTGAAAATCTATCGCAAGAAGGAAGCGGTGAAACCTGCAGAAGCTCAATCTGGAGCATTACATACCATACAAAAATATTCTATGAAGTCTGCAAAGAGACAATGAACAGAAAAGCCACAGTCTCACAGCCTAGAAACTCTGCTCCCTAACTGGCCACAAGCAGAGGGCCCAGCCAGGGTTATCTGGGAAGGTAACATGATCTCGCTGCCTACAAGTCATTTTCACACAACATACTTTGTTTTAAACTACATCCCAGTCAAGTTGGCTTGGCAGCCAATTCTCTTCCATAATAAATATCTAGCACTTTCTGCAGCTACTTCCATCAGTTCTCCAAGTTCACCTCTTCTTTATGGAGTGTTAGCACTATCCCTAGATTCCTGCTTTGATGAACAGAGAGAAAAAGGTAACGCGACTTACGCAAAGACTCTGCGATTCCGTGACAAGAAAGAGGATTTCCTCGTTCCTGGTGCGTTCCCTACGTCAGGGCACCGATCCCAGCCAGCCCCACCACGTCCTGCTGTCTGCACGGATGTCCAAAGGTTCAGAGGCCCTGGGTACCCAGGCAAATTATTTCACTGCCCAACACATCCAGCTGCTGACACTGCATGATGCCCACTACTATGTTTTTGCCCCACAAAACTCTGCATTTTTTATCATTTAATAAACCTATTAAAAAGAAAAAAAAAAGAGCATTCCTATTATTTGGTAATGCTGGTGGAGAACAGAGTGGCTGTTGCCCCTTTTCTCTCAAGAGCCTTTTAGAATCCACACGCACTTGTCGACCTTTAAACCAAAAACAAACAACTCCATACTATTTATAATTCATTGAGTTAAATTTAACTCAGATGATTTTTTAATAGACTGGAAGAAATGTGACAACTATTGTTAAAATAAGTAGGTCTACACTCTCGGCCGTGGAAAGACAGCATTTTGCCACGGAAACCCCACACAACCACATATTCTGTAGGACAGGAGCTAGATTTTTCTAAACTAGACGCTCATTCATGAGAGGGATTTAAACAAAGGAGATTAGTTTTAATCTTGGCATTAATGCAACTGTAACAACTTCACCGTTTACTACGAGCTAAACTCCAGTAATATCCATAGCGCCAGGCACGATACAAACGCACTTAAGGGATGGGTACCGGCATCAAAGGACGGATTCGCGTTTTCTGCAGGACAAGCTCCGTGCTGATGGAAACAAGCGCAGGGACGTGGCAGGGCAGCGCTCAGCAGCGCTCCCAGCACCTTCGCGTGCGGAGGGAGCGCTGGCGGCTCCGCAAGTCTGCGGAACGGGACGGGAACGCGGCGCTCGGCGCGTGGAATCCCCCCAAAATCCCCTTCTGAGAATCTTCCGAGCACTGCACGCAAGGTACTTTAATCCTCAGTGGCTGCATTTCCACAGAAAAGCTGTGGATGGCAACAAATTGCTCCTATTATGCAAATGAAACTGCACACTGAAAATTGCCTATGTGGCTCTTGGTAAGAGGTAGGAATTGCTAGTGTGTAAAGTTCAAGTCTTTTCAAAACATTTGAGCCACAAAACAGAATCTCTCCTGCTAATTTTCTAGGGCGCTGGGCTGCAAGTGAGCACATGGGGGTGAAAAAAACAATGAGATTTACCAGTAAATCATGAGTCCTTTAAAAATAGGAAAAAATACGATTTGCGTGAGAGTGAGATGCACACACACAAAGCCACGTGAACACTTCTGACAGGCATCAGGAGAAACTCTGCCCGAGTCTGAACGGCAACTTTTTCAAACAGGCTCTCTCAGGAGGGGCAAACTGCACAAGATCTATTTATACCCCAAGATTTCTGTTTTATAGGGGAAGCCATAGCAACTGACATGATGGCAGAAAGCTCTTGCCAAGAACAAAAAAAAAATTAGGCATTTTGTTGAATGGCCAAGCTCCTGCCTTCTCCAAAATCCACAACTAGGATCCAAAGGAAACGTGCTGCACTCATGAATGAAATATCCGCAAATAAAACAGTCCCACACACCCAGAAACGTCACCCTTGGATAACAAGCACTGTCCCAAGCTATCGCATGGCTTTGGCCCTCTGCAGCTGGCCCAAAAGCCAGCAAAGAGCACTTAAAAACACCGGCAAAGAGGATAGTTCCTGAAGCCAGCAGAGCCGTAATCCTTGGGCTGCTCCGCTCCCTACACAATGAAGGGATTCTCCGAAATCCCCATCTCGTGCCCGGCATTATCGGACACGCATTCCCATTCTTTGTCCAGCTCAAGCCAACGGGCCCGTTCACAGGCTCAAGGCCGTTTAAAGCACCGCAATCCATTCCGCCGGGATCACGCACACATTTAAATTCTGCATTTCTCCCCTTTTAACGAAATTGAAGCATTTAGCTGCGGATTACAAGAAAAGTGCCCCCCCCCTTCATTTTACCAGATCCAAACCAGCCCAGCTATGCCCATTAACACGAACCCGGGAGATTTTCTGCGGATTTCACACGTTTAAAGGAGGATTTTGAGACACGTGCACAAAGGCTACGGAGCAGCCAACTTGCTGGGGGGAAGGCCCCTTCCCGAGGAGCACAGCGCCCCCGCTCGTCCCTTCAAACCCCGCCGCACGCAGCGGGCGCCTCAGCGCACGGCTGCATTGTCTAAGCCTCACGTTGGCTTGATTTTTATTTCTTTTTTTGGGAAAAAAAAAGCAAAGAAAGATAAAAGCTTATGAATTAAAAAAGCACTTTTAAGGGCTAGCGAAAGGGCAGGGTTTCTCAAGGGGTGCACACTTCGCTTATGGGATTTAGGGCAAATCCGAGCGGCTCTTTCACCCCTTCCAGCTCCGGCCCTGCTCGGGACTCGCTCCTGCAAGAGCCATAGGGGCCTGGGGGCGAATCCCGGGAGGGAATTTGAGCTCTTTGAGCTGCCCAGGGACATTTTTAAGCGATTTTTTCCCCCTCTTCTTCT